TCAACTACCAATGATTGACCCAACAACCACTGATCCATCCACAAACTACATTACCTGCCTCAAAAAATGGAATCACCCAACCAATGCACAAATCAACTTGAGAATAGTTGAATGTATAAAAGCATGTGGATAAATCTATTCGCATTAATAACAATCATCAGTGCTTGTACAGCATTTTTTCACAGACAGTTCAAGGCACTCCACGATAAATACCATTCCTTGTTGGGCCACAAGATCAGTTTTCTGCAGCAGCAGCTTAAGATCAGTGTAAGTTGATCTCTATACCTTCACTGTTGCTCATTTTGGTATGTTCGGGAAAGTAAGGTTGCCATAGTTGTTCTTCCTCGCCTTCCACCTCTGCAGTCCAGGTTCAAATCCTGGCTTGGTCCACATGTGGATTGGGTTTTTCAGTCCCTACCAGATTCAAAATTATGCGTTTTACCCAGAGTATTCCACTGGGGTTTTCCTCCCACCCCTAATACTGTAACTGCCTCTTACTGTCTCCTCTCTGCAGGTTTCTTCAGGTTTGCGAGCTACAGTGCCTAGGGTCCTTTTGAGGAATCCTTCGTGTCATAACCAGAAATGATTAATAATAATTTACACTCGTGAATGGAAACAGGCAGTTGTGTAAGGAAGCATCAAGGAAAAGGAACACAAGCCCAATGATACCTGAGGGGTTTGAACCCACACACATAGATGAGTCAAATACCAGAACCACTTGACACCCCTGCAATCACTCTTCTTCAGTGTCGCATCTGTCAGTATTGTGCATTACAAGCAGTCGAGCACCAAGCCTGCTGCCAATATTGCACTTGTGAATGGCAACTGCTCGTCAGTATCAGATTACACAACAATTCAAGACATCAGATTATCACAGTTTTGTAAAAATAAAGTGTTAGGCAGAAAAGTACTTGTCCGAGTACTTCTCAAGTACTTTTGTCTCAAAAATTCTACAGCACTGGAATCTGTTGATGCCTACAGCAGCAAACATGTTTTCTGGTTAATATTCAATCAACAGTCTCTGAATGTCAACTTTACACAAATCATCAAGCCTGGAACAAAAAAAAACAACAAATTGTACAAAGGAAGCAATTTACAATCAAACATCAGGAATCCGTTCAGGGATCACATCAAGAATCGCCTGCTTTCACTTTTGTTTCCTCTGCCAGGCACTGGCATCAATCACTGACAATGGGGGAAGGAATGAAAGTTGATAAAGAACGTCAAAAGAGACTAAAATGCATTCATCAGTAGGGGAAATGCCATGTTCTGCCCTCCAAGGGCGACATTCAGAAGGGGCAACATTACGTCCCAGGCACTTTCAAGTTCAATCATTGGTAATAGGTACTCTTCAACACAAGTGTGCATCTGTCGGTTCTGTGCATCTGGTGTGCTCTATCAAACAGAAATCTCCCAGCATACTGACCTACATATGATCACATCTTAGGGGTGAAACATTCGATACTCAAACACCTATTTTTAGGCATGGATATAAAAAGAAGCTTCTAACTCCAATGGAATGATTACAAATAGTCAGTGGTCCGATAGCTTTGGGCTCCTACCTCCTGATAACAGCACAAATGCCATCTTCCATGAGCAGTCACATTACATGTAGGGCTTCATAACCTGGACTGACAGCACTCTTAAGTAAAAGGTAATGAAACATTTGGCAAACAGATGCAATTGCTAACTGGAACTGACAAAAAATTGCCAATCTTTCAAAAAACGAGCAGCAGGACTAAATGGGGGATGTTTCTTTGTAGAAGACTGGCCACAAGAGATACCCAATTACTTCTTGATTCAGAAATGGAAATTTTCATCAAAATGTTCGCTATCTTTTCCCACAGCACCTCTTTGAAGAAATGGAAACTGAGGGTGTTTCTGACACATCAGTGACTGCACCAAAGGAATTCCCCGGCCACATGAAACACTGTGTGTACAATACCTCCTGGAATTCATCCAAGACACTGTTGATTACGGAAGCCTTCCAGGTATTTCATTCGATTCCATTTCCTGAGATTGGATAACAATTCTCTGAGGGGGAACAGCCCTAAATGAGTCTCTTGATGTAACAGAGATGTTACTGTCTCAGCTAGCATCCACGCATGGTGAAATCAAAAGGCTGTGGAACAACCTGCACTACTTAATATTGAATGTGCCTTCAGGAATGAAATAATGGATATTAGAGACCAACCGATGTGCCAACAATACAGCCTTTTCCTCTCAAGAAACTGCGGCCCCTGTGACATTAACTCAAATAATTATCTGCTCAGAGTGGCAGCCAGGGATGCTTCTGTGTGTACTGGTGCAATCAGGGAACAGGCAGAGGTGCTTTGTCAGCCAGAGAGATCCCAAGAACTGCGTAGCTGCTCTCATTCCATTCAACAAAGATTTCAAACGTATCAGAGTTACACACCCTCTAAGCGTTGCCATCATTGTACATGATGAGCTCTGTGCAGGACCATGTTCAGAGCACTGGAGAAAGAACTCATAAAAGCAAAGATTAACCTCTTGCTGCCGTTTCGTGCACCATGGGTTTATATGCAGAGCTGGGGTGCTCGAAATGGGACAAAAGAGCTGGTCTGTGTAAAAAAAGACAGTACTTGGAACGAAAGACCTGCTGCTGGGAATTGCCATCATTTTTCAGCTTGCATTATTCAAAGGTAATCCGTCACTGTTTTTAAACAGTATACCAATGTTTCCGGGCAAAGTGGGCTCGCAGATTAGCAATGCAACAAAAGTGCTCCAGGGCTCCATTGATGAGTGACACAGCACCACTGCATGCTAATCAAGCCGCAACACCTCACAATTCTGGGCTCTCTTTACAGGGCGGCAGGCCTGGCTGAAATACTCAGTTGTTAATGAAGGTCACCTGTCAGCTTAGAGTAGCCACCAAACAGTCATTCATGAGGGTGTAAACATCCATTAAAGGAAATGATGAATTTTTGAAGAATTTCGATAACTAAAAATCTTGAAAATTGCCCGTATGTGTGCACTGCATTTTTCAAAAAACCCAGCAGCATGTGGTTAAGGGTATCAATGAAATATTTCACTATGACAATAAAGAAGGGCTCATGTCAAAGTTTTACCTCCTTCAAGGCTAGCATAAACCCTCCAAAACACAAAAGTTTATGAGTTTCATTTCTGGAATATTTATATTTTTGTAGAGTATTTTGGAGAGAGGGGAGTACCAACTGAATTCAATGTTCCCACTAGGAGCAGGAAAGTGACATGAAATAGACCTTCAATAGTCATTCAATCTATGCAGGACTTCAGCCAGAAACAATCCATAGCCGCTCACAGGTTTTCCTCGACATTTCCATCAACATGTGCAAAACAGTGGTGAGATTTTGCCCCTAGCTAAAAGAACTCCAGGCGTCTTGGGCCGATCAACACATAAAAGCGATGCCGCCCCTGTCAGATACAATTAGCAGAGTGAAATTTGATACACCTCCATCCATTTCAGCCCTGGCTAACTCTACGCTAGTTTTGAGCTCTTCGCTCCAGGATCCTGCGCATTTCCTGCAATAACCACAGTCATGGTGAGTCGGAGATTGTCAGAACTGATTAAATGGTGCTGGAGTTGTTTTTGGTCTCAGGTGTAATTATACCCAACTGAAATTTCATGTGAAAGCGACAAGATACATGTACATGAATGGTGTGTGTGGACGCTCATCACTCAGCACTTATGACTGTGTGTGACTTAGCAATCGACTAATATCGATCTTAAGCTCAGGAAGTATCAACCAGATCATGACCAAGTGCCCTAAGGGTCCATGAGACCCATTCCTTGTTCCCCGACATACATATATATGTACATTTCATGGAAATTAGGGATCTACATATCATACATTCAATGGATCCTATCGATTGTGTATTTTGAAATCAAAGATTGGCATAAAAAATCATTTCAATCAACCAAACATCTTTCTCGAGGTGAAAAAATGTCTCTTTGGCATCTCCACCAATATAACCCACACAATCTCAGTACATGTACACAATCTATAATGACTAATTTTGAAATTGATTACTTTAACCGTCCACCTTTAACTTCATCTCTCTACTCTAAAAAATTATGATAAAGTTGAAACATTATCATAATTTTTACCAATAGTTAGCTTTGTCAATACCGAAACCTGAAGTACATGTATATGACTGAGAGTTAGGTTTTAGTCTTGATATTTCACAAAACGTAACACACATCCACTTTGATTAGTGTTTGTTCAAGTGACAAGTTGTTTTCAAAGCTCTAGGGTAATTCCTCCCACAGCAATTTTAGCAGAGTTCCTGATCCCGAGACAGAACGGGTCCCACCCAGACATCATAATGAACAGTCATTTGCTTTCCAAGTGATTAACTACTGGGAAGATACACCCAAAACAGCTACACGTACATGTACGAGTTCTGGCAAGGGAGCTAAACCAAACTGGAGCTTACCGGAGGCCAGGTAAAGGGGGGGGGGGAATTCATCGAGTCATTTGATTCACTAGCTGCAGATCTTATCAATCACTCGGCACACAACAGGAAGCTTTGTCTTAGCTATGACTAATCCATCCTTAGCGAGAGTGGGGAAACACGCATGGTATGTGCGCACGGTGGAGACATACCCAAGATGCTGTAAGAGATAAGCAATGCATTCACATTTCCACCATCAGACAAGGGTGGGATTGTTTTCATAGCAATTTATGCTCTCGGATCGGCCAATTGCCCAAAGAACTGGGCTTGCTTCTGTGCAACCACTAAGCAGAAATGCTTGCTAAGTTTGCGGGAATTCTTTTTTAGGGGGCACTAACAAAATGGTTGCAACCAGCTAGAAAATCATACATGAAATCAAACTCTGACTGGCAACCGGCAATCTGCACAGTTCAAAGCACAAGCCCAGGTGAATAACTTTGGTTGTCAGCTAAGCAATTGAATGTCCATAGCCCCAAAGGCTAGTTGGCAAAGGAAATTGCTAAGCGCACCTGCCTGCCTGTACAAACATCAACCACTCATCTCACCTCCCATGTCACCAGGATAGCCGTCTGATTGGTCACAGGGACATGAACGTTCTGTGGACTCAACGTAGGAGCTGCAGGGAAAAAAAAAACAAAAACACAGTTGATTTGGGAAGCAGAACTAAATCACGTATGATACTCTCTCCTGCGTTTAATACTTTCATTCACAATTAATCAACTTCACAAAAAAAGGAAGGAAAACTCTGAAAAATAATTCGGAGAAATCCAGCTGTCCAGGCAGGAACTGGAAAGTGAATCCACATGCTGACCAGCAGTGACCGGTCATCAGTCGACGTCATAACTCGGGGAGTCATGGATAAGACCTACATGAGGACTTTTCTCATTTTAAGTAAGGAGTTTGTAAAGTACTCTGTGAGGACCAAGACAGAGATTAATACATTGCTAATGGATTTTATTTTTCAAAATTTCCTTGTTCAAACTTTCATACACAGTAGCATTCAATGGCAGGGGTTCACTTTTGGCCTCTAAATATTCTAGCTAATGGCCAGAAAACTGGGCTGAAAAAATCAGCCAGTACGAGCCCATACGTGGCACACTTAAATCTCAGTACAACTTTAAACTATCTTGAGTTAATTTGAAATCGATGAGTTTACGACTGGTACCTCCTAGCACTGGTACCACCATCCACCCAACACAAGAGAAATAGACCAATTGCCCCCACTAAATCATATGACCTATAGTGGGTATTAACTACAAACAAGGCGTCCACCTAAAGCAAGGTGTTTCATAAGTATCATTTACCAAAAATAAAGAAGGTGGGCGCCACACTCAGACTGCTGATGTGCTGAGCACTATTATCATAACTTGACTGTATTGTTGGTAAACAACACTCAAAACACACGTTGCTATGGGGTCGATACCCACTAGAGGTCACATGATTTAGTGGGTACAATTGCTCTATTATGATATTTATAAACTACAAATATTAATACAAGCTGCGTATTGACAAAAGTGACCTCAGATATGTAGAAACTGTAAATGTTTATAGAGTTTGACAGGTTTTACAAACATTTTTGAAAAAGATTCCACTACAATTTGGCTCTAAAAAAGATCCTGTTCAGCTTTATTATGAACTGCATACTTTTATTTAAAAAGGTCCATTCCAGATGTTCGGAAAATAACCTGGAAATTTCAACAGAATATCTCACTCATGTTTCTGAAAGATGTCTGCAAACTTAACATTTTTTAAAAGGAGATTTAATATATGAACCCACACAAAAAGTTCATTTGTTAAACACTTTGGGATCAAATATATTCGGATAACAGAGTGCTGAAAAATTATGAATGGGAGCTCAATCAGATGGCACCTAAACTATGTGCTTTCAGTAATAGCCTGGATCACTCTAGTTTGTTAAAGTTTTGAGAAATCAAGAACAGGGTTTTCAACAACATACATGTACACATAATAGTAAAACACTGATTTGTCAGGCCTTATAACGCTTATAATAAGCTATGAGTTTTGTCATAAATGGCTTCATGTTGTGAGTATTGTATTTTCAACAAAGTAGCAACACGTACATGTATATACATGTAACTAGAAGTCCAAAGATTGAACATTTCGGGGTAGCGAATACTGAAAACCAAATCAACCCGGGGAAATTACACAGATGTCTGGATTCATTGACTGAATGGGGTAGTCGGTTAAATGTCTGAGGAACTCAATGACACGAGATATCAGATCAGATAATGACACTTATTTCCTCTGAACACGAAGTCAGTCAGAGCCCCATGAGGAAACATACAAGTGAGGGACGTGTCTCCTTTCAGTCTGTGGAGGTGCCTTTGACACTTCCACTGAGCTTGATATCGATGGTGTGCAAATCACAAGCAGGCTTGGCCAGTGACAGAATCTTTTAGGTCTGTTCCCGAGACGCAAGTCTCACTGGACAGTCTTCCATTCCTTTTCCGTAATCGTGGGACATGTGACTAACCTGCTACTCTATTGGCCACTAGGAAGATTCGGACACTCTGAAAAAAGTGGGGCCCAGCAGGAAGTACTGTACAGCCCCTATGATTGGTCCACCATACTTTTTTGCTGATGCACTTTATTGACTTGTAGAGCTTAGAGGTTGATTCAAACTTGGCCAGATTCACAGATTCATCTGCTACGATACTACGAGTTGATATCAACTGCCATTGTGGGAAACAGCTGCAGCGCTTTAAGAATCCACACTTCATAGATTAAACATGCTAAGCTTTCGCGCTGTGTGAATACCTAGCAGAAAGTAGTATGGCTGCCAATATCATGCATATTTTGAAGACAGAAGGTGCATAAAAGGACCAAGAACAATGTTTTCCTCCATTCATGTAGAATTGTCAGTTTGTGATGGTGGAAGGTGTGGAGATACTCTTGGCATTCATCACTTGGTACCAAACAGTTGATTAAATGCATTTCGCTTGGCTGGTAGTCATCTTAAGATCAGTTCACACTTGGTACAAAAGAGAACAGGAACGCAATTTGTGACATCAGATCACGTCTGCACTGCGAATGCATTGCAACTCTAGGAAGATTTTTCTACAAATATTTTATGACGTCACGTTTGCTTCAGTTGCCGGAAGTACGAACTGGCCTTCATTATCTGAAATAATGGGAATACCTCTAACACAAAGGTTTCGGGTGGGGGGAGGTCAAAGGGATTATTTGGCAAAAAAAAAAAGTGACCCAGATTTGTTTCTGGCTGTACACTACTGGCGCTACTGCTTCAGAGGAGGCTCAATGCCTAGTTGTGGTATACTGGTTGAGTATGTTTTGCACTCCTTCAACTCACCATCGGCCTTTGTTCTGATAATGATGACATCACTGTTGGGGCCGTTGCCTTCTCTGTTGAATCCCAACACCTGCAGGGCATACTCCTGCCACTTAGCCAGCCCCGTCAGGCTCACAGAAAACATGGTGGCATTGACCGATTTCACCTGTGGTGCGGTGGAATCGCCCACTTCCTTGTAGGACACCCTGTAGCCTTGGATGGGCCCATTCTGATGCTCAGGGGGCACCGCCTGGTTGGAGGTTTGAAAATACAGTGTGTCACTGCATTACAAATTTAACAATACACCTTAGCCGTGCCATAAACAAAAAAATTGATCAATTTATTCTATGTTTACCAGTACCAAAATCAAAAGTTCTCGAGGTGCAGTAAGTTCCAAGTCAACATCAAGAAATTACCTGTAAGTCTAAAAATAACAATTTTGTATGATTTCAATGCTACAATAATACTGCATACTGAAATACTCTTAAACACATTTTTGCATATTTTAAACATTTTTTTTTATTAAACTGCAAGCAATCTGGGATATAAATCTCGGTTTTGCATACTACCCTACAATGGGGAAATAATTACTTGCCTTGCAAGCACATGGATAATCCACACTACCCTTACTCTTTCACAAGTGTACAGATCACTTTAATGTGTTTCATACACCTGTGAATCATTTCTTGTCTTTGTCTTGTCTTTTCTCATATCAAAACATTCCGCCTTGCATTTCCTGCAGACAGCTTTAATCCAATTAAGCCTGCTGCAACGACGACTGCGAGGAGAATATTGGGCCAGTTCCGGTTAGTCTAACAATGATTACTTCCTCATGTGCCACCAGTCTACCCCCACCCCCAAGGGGCCTGTTCTAGGTGTGTACTGGGTAATCAACTCTTGAGTGGCAAGACTAATACTGTGTCAAGGGCACGTTTACGGAGCTGAAGAATGCTTCCACCAAATTGGAAACGTTCATCAGGAAACCTGATACGAACACTGCTTGTTCCACCAACTAATTTTTTGACTGAAAATAGAACAGTGTAGGTCAGCTAATTTGAGCCCTTTGCCTTCGGACCCAAATCATGCTCTTCAATGAGACTAGTGCCGATATCCCAGGGCAGATCTAGAACTCCTACAGGAGGGGCTGCTTTTTTTTAATGAAACAGAACATCAGAACATTTTGGTTGGAAGAGGGAGAAGCTTGTGGGGCTGTAAGGGTGATTAGAAGAAGGGAAGGGGCTAGGGTGTGGTCTATCCTGGCTCACCAGCAAGTATTTCAGTTCTGAGTCATGAGAAGCACTTCTCGTTCTCATACTCATTCTTGAGTAAATGCTACATCGTTGATTTTATGCTAAAAAATACCTCCTTCTATTAACCTATGTTTAGTTATTTCTTATCACATCTTCATGCATCCAAAGCATATTATTTGGCATCCGATATAATGCATGTGAATATACTCCACTCAGCTGCACTTAAACTACAGCACACCAATGCTGTGAGCCCCAAATAGCCACTGTCATATGTAAAAAGAATAAAACAAACACATTGTACATGGACATAAAATGTATGTATTCCAATGATCTATATCTGAGTTCTGAGGGGACAGCTTGTCCAGACAGGGAAAGGGTGTATTTAAAGCTTCAAACTTTAAATATTTCATTCAAAAATATCACCACAGAGAGAGGAAGCTACGGAAATTAACTGCAAGGGTGGAAATCATCAAATGTGAACAGCGCTGCCTGTGTTTAGACAAATGAGTCATCAAAAAAGGATAAAACCCCACCTTGATAATTAACAGCAGGCACAAAAAACACCCATTTGAAGCATACATGTACCTATAGGTCCTCTCAAACGACATCAATTCTTACAGACTGCCAAATGTATCAGCATTTTGGATGTCACATCATCACCAAGCCCAACAGCTGCACCATAATTTTGAAAGGCATGTGGATCAACAAACACAAGTATAGAACATTTGCACAATGCACATATGCACCCACTGGCACTGAAAACGCAGTTGTCATTTTCCTATAAAGATGGCTATCTCTTGTTTTAAAGCATTTTGTACTATTTAATTGTGTATCTCATTGGGTTTAATAATATCATTAAGATCTGCAATAAGCCTTGAAAATTCTTCTATTTAATCATTGCATAGCTCCAGCTTTTCGAAATCAGAGCATGCTGAAGGAACCACTCTGAGATGATGTCAAGTGAGGGTTCCATGCACAAGTGGAGACGAACAGAAACGCTGCACCAACAGGAGAATGCAAATGTTACTATACATGTACATGTATGTGCCTGGTGGCCATGTGAAGACCCTAAGGCTCTATACATTTTCATCATGTGAGCTCTGTTTATATTCTGGCCAGCAGGCAGCAAATGTGGAATGTCTACCAGAAGGGAGATATCACCGTAGCACTGTAGCGAAGCACCCTCCTTGCTCTTCATGCCTGTAAAAGTTCACTCCATACAGGGACAAGACGTGCTGCTTTCACTTGATAACTGCCTGCGGGAACAGGCTTTAACATGTTTAAGCTCACTTGGCACAGGACGTACTAAGCACTCGCAAACAATTTCTGTTGGACTGTAAAGTCCCCGCACGTGCGTCAGGCAACAAGTTGAAATGGTTTTCACCAGTCTCTCTTCTTTTCCTTTGAGGGGCCACTTCTGCACAGAGTGGATATTACTGTCGTCATCGACTGAGTAAAACTTCAACAATGAATTGCTAAGCTTCAGTGTAAGAGGAACAAAACTTCAATCCAAGCAAAATACCTACTGCCCTCTCTTAGCTTAGTGCAGGTTACCCTAAACAGAAGCTTACTCAGGGGTTTTCATTTGTTATTCCTGAGTCAAGTGTGTTGCAGTAATGCCAATGATGTGAGCTTCAACTACATCAGTGTGCACTGCGGTATAACAAAGTGAAAAAGTGAAGCAAGCTCTACATACTGATCTGCAATTATGACAAATACACACACAGCCAAATCCAAAGTTGTGTGTCTTCAACCTGCAAAACAATGTCATCCTCGCATGAATGTGACAAATGGAGGCCACGGTTCTGTGCCATAATTGAATTATGTTATAAGACTTCTTACACGTGAGTCAACCAAAGTAAAGTGCATTTTTTGCCATTATCAGGAGGAAACTGTATTTATTCATTGGAATAGTTGCAATGATTCATCTTCAAATGTAGGGCACCGAAGTGTCACGCAGGTTTTAACAAAATGTTTCTGTATTAGATGTACTTATGCACCTGGATCCTGAGTTTGAGACAAGGCCTCTCGATGGTACTCCACCATATAAAGGTGGATTACAGGACAAGACTTGGAGGACTGTAGGTGTCAACTATAGATGGAGGATCATAGGTATTGACTGATTTATGTTGCTTTTGTTGTTTTTTAAATCACTACCTAACCTCAGATTTCAAAAGCAGTTAAAAACATAGGCGTGACCTTTGAATTTAAGTCTGTTATTCAACCATGGCAACAGAGTTTATCTCATCACTGTCCTCATGGCAACCACTGAATCCAAACAGACACAGGTCATCACCAGTCAGGTCTATCACTTTGTACCAAATGTGGAAATCCTACCAGCATCAAAATCACTAGCGGAAGCTGCTCCTTTTGATATTTAATTGAGTTACAACAGACGACTTCTTGCCTACAAGTTGTCAAGATAATGTCATATTATATCTTTGCCCAAAGGGCACATAACTTGACATTTCTGTAACCTTAAAATTAATAGGATTAAATCTTTAAGACGACTCACATATTAGTTTTAATTGGTTCTTACTTTATCATCTTCCCCCTCAACAAATAACACAAAATGTGCCTCAATTTCACCCTTTAAAATAGCAATCAAAATGTCTAAATAATAAAAAATTAAAGAGAGAAGAAATGTATGTCTTGATGTCTGGGAATTATAAATAAACTGAATTACAAGTCATCAAAGTTTAGATAAATCTCTTGATCAAAATGGGTCATGATTACGGTGAATAACTAACTTCATAATTTCTCTTTCGTTGGTTTCTGCTTGGAGGTTGGAGGAGTACACATGCATACTAGTGAACCTCTGAGTTCCAGCTGTGTTACGGTCCAGACGGTGAAGCAGAGACCAGACTGAGACACCAGGAAGTTGAGGACCAGACAAGCAATCAGAACACTCAAAAAAATTGGTCTAGACCCCAGTTTTGGTGAGGACTGAAACACAGACAGACTACTGGTGGTAATTTCTGACAGGAAATATGTCAATAATTATAGTTGGTATTACATGCCGAGACAGAGGAAATCCAAAAGCCAAACAGTACTGATGGGCCAAGACTTAGGGCAAACCCATGACCAAGACCTTCAAAACACCAAAAGGAATCGAGATTCTTTAAAAACAGTCTGCAATTGTTAATTGCGGTATCCGTTGCTGTGTTGAATTCGATTGGCTAACAGACCCTAAAAGCTTAGTGGTTGAGAAGCTAATACTTCAGAACTTGAACACAGAAAGTCATGGGTTTGAGTCCCATTCAAGTGAGTTTGTGGGTTTTGCTTGTCCAGAGTTGATAACCTTAACATGGTCACCTCATTAGTCAGTCCTTGTACTTATTTACTGTACCTCATACATATTCATGATATCCAAATTCTCACGGTTCTATTCAACACCCAGTGACAGTCACTATTTTGCTGCGTACTCAATGCACATGCAAAGGTTCAGTAGTAGACTGTCATTTGGCATATCTGGGGAGTTAACTATGCATGCGCTTCACCTACATGTTAAACCGTGGGTTTTTTGCTCAATGTCATTTGCATGAAATATGGTTAAATAATAATAATTGGAAATTGACAAACCGTTTTTCTTGGCTGTACTTCAGGACCTAGTTGGTCAACTTCCACTACCTCAGTAAATATAAACTGTCTATCCTCAAAACTATACTATACACCGGTAAAGGACAAAGTCTGACCCTAAAATATGTCTGCATGTTGGCTTGACAGCATTTAATAATCTCCAGGAGTGAACTTACCGACCATGACACAATAAGTGATGTAGATGAAGATGCTGTTACCATGACGTTAACAGGAGCATTGCTTGGGGCTGCAAAAAAAGACACATTTATACTGAGTTGAGTTGTTTTTTCTTGTATAGATACAATTAGGTTCGATATCTACATTTTTAACATGGAAATAACGCAAATTCAGCCAGGTTCCAGATTTTCCTGGTGGCTCACTGAAAAATTTTATTTGTGAATACTTTCCAACTTCGCTTGTTTGATCTAAAAAATTTCAAATTTAAATCTTTTCTGCAATTTCAAGTCTGGGCTGAAGCAACAGTGCAGCTTGTTCCTGTGAACAGAGCCAGTCTCATTTTGAAATAGGTCACAGAGTCAGAAATTCAGATTGAAACTGCTACAATGTTTAATAGAGTGGTGGAATCTTGACATCTCCTCATTCTGCAATCCTGTTTAGTTCTGCTTGACACACTCAGAAACTCCTTATCACTGCATGCATCTGATAACGCACACTTCAGTGCTTTATTTCACAGTGATAGACCGGTCCGCGAAGATCAACTGCACAGTGGTCTGCTCAATCACAGGCACGATTTAAGCCTAACAAGTGAGCTCAAAAGTCTGATATGCATGCGCATGCACATAATCTACAAACCTGGAACTTACAGAATGGCATCGGAGAGGAGTACATTATGTCAACCGCTGATGTATTCGGTGGGGAGGATTACTGGATCGGTCCAGTGTACAAATTCCTTGACCCAATTTCTTACCACTTGGTGATGTAGTTTGTTCCACATATTCTGTGTAGTCGCCAAACTGCTGTTGTCCATTGTATGATGTTGCAGCTCTCACGCGGAACTGGTAGGATGTGACCGGCTTGAGATTTCCAATGACTGCTTCAATTGTGTACTGGTTGTCACCAGGAATATGTACAGTGGAATAGACTGAAAACAAAAACAGGGCAGCGACGACCACCAACTTCACAATCCCATAAGCAAGCAAGCAAATGATAAGCTAGAAAAAAGACGACATTCTTTTGGTTTTGAGGGTTAATAATGGCATAGATACCATGTAAAATATAGGAATAAACTCTTCAGAGGAAACATACTGCAAATATAAAATTCGTGTTTTATCTTATCCTGCCCAACCCAAAGAAATCTGTGAAGTTTGCCCAAATCCCATCTTATCCTGCCCAAAGAAATCTGTAAAATTTGCCCAAATCCCAACAGTTGGCTTTACTTGATTTTAATTAGTTCAGCACTAGATACATTTGTAATTGTAATTTGTAAGTGTTACCTTGATGGTATCAGTTGTTTGTTTGTCTTTTTTTCTGAGCATAACATAAAAAACAAGTAGGTCCTACAGCCTCTGTATGTGACCCAATTTGAAACAGTGAGACCTATTTCACCAGAGCCACTTTTTGAGTTGAAGGGATTTGGAAGAATCTTGCAGAGAGTATATCAGTAAAAAATCCTGAACATTTCTCGCCTATCTTTCACAAATGCAATCTCAACAGGATGCCAAACAAGGTGAGACACCAAACCAGACACATTTTTAATTTGCTCTTCCTAACACAAACTGGAAGTATTGAAGTATTGAGAATAAAGCCTTCAGATTCATGTTGTGAGGTGTGGTTAAAAAAATGTATCTGCTAGTACGACACTTCACATTTTGACAGCAGTTGGAGGCACCCCCCAAAAAAATCTGGCTATTAACATCTTTCTACTCAACACCTTCAGCCTACCATTAGTACTTGTCTCCTTGTATTCTACAGTGTAGGTGTCAATGGGTCCGCTTTTCTGCGCTGGTATCTCCCACTGCAGGGTGACTGCTGTGGCATTGAAAGACAACACTGCCAAGCTCCTGGGAGCAGACGGCCCTTTGGTTAAGAGGGAAATGTACAATCATGGGATTAATGAGAGGAAATATTCCATTAATATGTGCTCAATGATGTCATCTGAACAAAGTAACATTTGAATGGCGTTTGGGGCCTGTGTCTCACTTTGCAGTGTAGGACTGCACAGTGTAGACATGACAGTCTATGATTCCGTATAAATGGGTAGGTGTTAAAAGCTGCCAGCTGCCAGCCTCAGGCTTTGCCCTTGTGCAGGGCACTTTATACCGTTTTTTCATACTCTTTTGTATTTCCCTTTGATAAGTTTTACTGAATTTGTGATACCGTATTCATTCTCAATATCACCTTTTTCCTGAGGCAAAGTTGAAACTCAGAAGCCACAGACAACTCCCTTCCACATATACAGTAGTTCATCATTCCAGTCTGGATTCATACACACTCTCACACCCCTAGTCTTCTTGTTGATCTAAAAATGTAACCTATGGCTTTCCCTAGACAAAGGCACATCCCCTTAAATGCAAGCTCTTGTTGCCCCAGCATGTCTTAGCCTTCTCATTCTTAGAGCATTCATGAATGGCTAGCCACATCCAAAGCACGAACTAATGTGGTTTTCTCAAAGCTACACAGGCTTTGGCTTCATCTCTGGCCTATTCTGAGCGTCCTTACGATATTTGGTTCAATTGCAAAGCCTTCCATCAATGGCTTCATCCTTTGACAGTCTGACATTCATGGATAAAAGCATGTACTCATGAGGCATGAAATCTCAAAATTTTGGGACCCCATGACTTGACTCGGGCCCACTTTTAAAAAAATGCCATAATATGGGTGCATACATGCATGTGGACAATGTTTCATCAACTCTGAGCTTCTGGAAATTAAGTGCAAAGAATTTCACTGTAAAGTCAGAACTGCTTCAAGACCAGGCAGCACTGGAAAAAATGAAACTGGCTACCTACCAGTGACGGAAGGTGTTGAGGCCACAGCCACGTTACTCGGAGGGGAAGTCCCCACAACGTTCTTGGCAAAGACTCTGAAGTGGTAGGTCTGACTCTCAGCCAGGCCAAAGACAGTGTGTGACTGGGGGGTTGCCAGGGAACTGGTGACAGCTGGAATGTTGTCCAGGAACGTAACCCATGTTGGGGCAACACTGAAATCACATATATATCAGAAATTCAGGTTCTCTTCGGTATATCATCCTTAATGTGATTCTACCACCACAAATTTAATGTCATGTACATGTATATTACAGCCTGTCCTTAACACATCCCAACAAAATGTTTGTTTTTGATTCCATTTTTACAAAATCAGAACTTTCTCTGTGCTTCTTATTGGTTTATTGTGGCCCAAGACAGGCTTGCAACTTGGACATTGACGAAAAAGACTTCACACTTTCGCTGATAAAGTAATTGTTCACATCACAGTCTATAAACCTAGCATGCCTGGCCATCTACTATTCTAGTAAGTCCTGATGAAGATCTCCGGATTGAAACGCTGACTCCATCTTATGTTCTACAAGTTGTGTTAAACTAGCTCAAAAAAAAACATCATAACATAGGGGACTCTTTTTCTTGGAAGCACAAGAGAATGATCACAGAGTGTAGAATTTCTTCCATTTTAAATTACAACATACATGTCACCAATACATTATCATGACAAGAGTGCAATAGGTCTCTGGTCTTTGTGCACCCCACATAGACTGGCATGGCAGGTCAGCAATGAAACTTGAAAGCATTATGAAAGAAACAAATGTTTGTTGTTTTTTATGCAACATGTGAATAAATCTCCACTTTCTGATTGGTGGGTCATCAGTCCTGTGTCACTGAAATATTTATCCTAATGCATAGCACAGCAGCACCATGAACATTCGAATCCACAGTGCATCAGAGTGGGTTCAGAGATTTTCTGAACTAGTGGACAATGTTGGGATTTACAGGCCTCGAATTTCTTTTTTTTTTAGGGCACTGCCATTTTGCCAAATGTGACGGCATTAATGTCATCAGTGTACCACAGTTATGGGCATTAACGATTTTTTTTTTTATATTGCATGAAAATCAATATTCATGTAATTCATTCAGGCCTAAGAAAAAGTAAGATATGTATTACACCTGAACAAGTCCCTGATTAGTGCCGAATTAGCAGGCGAGTGTTGAATGGCTTTGGCCTGTTTTGACTGCAGCCGTTCTTTCCTGGGCATTTTGCCCACCACCAAAACTGGCCAGGCCAGTGATTTTGCACACAACAACGTACGTGAGAATCAGGGTAGTCCCGATTAACCGATGTCGTGAATGTACAGTTCGGATCACGCACGGCGCGTGGCACTAAACTGCAAATACTACATTGCGTTGTTAGTTAAAATACTACCACAACCGTACAATTGTCCAGTGTGCATGAAGAACGTGGAGCTCTCAATATACTGTGAATGTGTACACGTTGATGAGCACTAGACATTATTGCATGGTACATTAAAATGCTTGGCTTGGGCATGCGCTGTTATGTTAAGTCTTTGAATAGGCAGGCAGGTGTTGCCTGTGCCGCGCTTACGATTGTGCAGTGTACATGGAGTGGGCCGGGCCACCGATGTGCAGCAGGCTAAGTGACCATGTACAATATCTCCATATACACACAGTGCACGCATGCCCTGCATATATGCATGCATCATAATGCCATGCATTTGGATGGCACGGCGCGGTGTTCCGGTCGAATGTGAGCAATCAAGGAATGATGTGCATGCTGCTTTCCGTGTACCTTACTGAAAATGGGAGCAGTCGATATGCACGTGTAAGGCACCAAGGCCAAGAGATAAAAAGGGCACTGCCATCTTGGAGTCACCAAGGTCAAATGGGAGGGCCCCGACCGCCATGGCTGTCGGGAAATTCGGGGCCCACGTTTTTTCAGTATTTATTCCTATGATGCAGGGATTTTTTCCAGGACTTATTCAGACACAAGATAATGTGTGCCACATTTGACCAATGCAAAGAATAATTTCATTTGGTGAATGATGACATTCTATCCCACTCTCAAACTTATTTTTCACTACATTCATTTACTGTCATCGTTTGTACCAAAGCTAAGGGAAGTACCGTACCTCAGTTTGTATTGCAGCTGGTAGTGCATGATGTCGGTGGCATCCCCAGTGCCTGTCCAGGTCACCATGACAGAATCTACAGATAGGGCCACTGCGGTCAGAATAACAGGTGCACTAGGGATCCCTAAAGTAACACAAGAATATCAGTGGAACATGAAGAATGACAGTCTGTGTTTTGGCAAAGAATTATCCTAAAATATTAAAGGGCAAGTCATTTAATACATCAACATTTCCAAACATTCATTTGCAAGAACAACCATCCAAGACATACACACTTGTATGCATAGATAAACAGTTTGTTCCTGACTCATTTCCCAAATCACCATTTTCTCAAATTTTTCATGGAGACTTAGCACATTTTGCTGCCTTAAACAAAAATGAGCACAGCGTGAAAGAATGACCTTCTGTACATCTCTGTACATTCTTCCAAGATATGGCTCTACATGTACTTTAATAAAAGGAAATTGTGGGATCTGTGCAACTCAAAAAACTCATCCTCAACTTGAACTCAACTCAAATAAAGGCATAGAAACTATGCATTACCGTGACCTTCATGTTAAAGCACAGCAACTACTTATTGTCAATGAAGAATGCCTGCTATGCCTAGTTGCTATGAGTTCCTGTAAGCACATTAAAAATCTCCATTTCAGCAAAGACTTCTTCAGTGAATTAAAGCAACATGTACATTATATTATCTTCAGCCCGAAACACTCCATGCTGACATTAAAGAATGCACGGTGAAAGAATGCTGAAAAAACATTTCCCACACTTTGGACACTTTGTAGGAGAGATTTACAGTGCCACAGAATGTACATCCAAGCAACTGCTTTTTTCTGGTGGGACTTGAACCCACAACCTCCTGCTTATTAGTGCAGATGTACTTTTTTTTCGCAAGCTCTCCGACAAGCATATATACAGTGTTTATAAATATACACATTGGGTAAGGGCACAATCCGTACTTTAATATCTCCCCGACAAAAAGTACATCTTGAAATAGTTTACAGTACCTGCTGCTATATCTGACTCGGACCGGCCAGCTGACCCCAGCAAGCTCGGTGGTCAAGTAGTTAAGACATCTGCTCTAGCAGGCAGGAGGTCGTGGGTTCGAGTCCCACCTGAGTAAGCTTGTAAATTTTTTGCAAGCTCTCAGACAGACATCGAGTATGCAGTGTTTTTAAATGTAAACGTCAGGTAAGGGCAAAACCCGTAATTAAATTAAGCAACTGCTTCCAATTATCATTCCTCCTTGGATTTGACCCCAGCTGTCACCACCTTTTATGAAGCCCCACTCTCGTAGGTCAGGTCACACGTAACCTAAAACTGCTTGTCTGCTGACTGGAATCCATTTCAGAGTTATAAAATATGCTGTCAACTCCGACTCAAAAATTAATACCAGTGCTGAACACCAACATCACATGTAACATCATCGTGAGCCGTTTTGCCAAGCACACACCGACCCCTCATACGATCAGATAATGCCAGTGAATTCTTTTAAACAAATCAAGAGCAGGCATGAGAGGTCAGTAACACAGCTCTATTTCCCGTGTCCAGGTGTCCCAAATTGAAGACTTAAACAAAAGCAGGTGACTTTGTACGTCATTGGCAACACCAAAGATAAAGGAAAGGTACACAGATCTCTGCCAGTAAATGATCACCATACGCTCCAGACATAAGATATCTCCCTTTATCTTTGAAACTTCCTCTTAAAGGGTATACTGTAAACTCAGTACATTCAGGTATCAAAGAAATCTTACAAAGGTGCAGAAGAAGAGCATGTTGCTGTGCAACTATAGACTAATCCCATGGCAAAGAATTAGAAGCCATTACTGCAATGGTGGACACTTTCATGCAGCTCACATAAATTTGCATGTAAAATTTCTCCTTGACTGACAGCATGTTACACTACTTGCCAAAATGCACGCCAGCCTCAAGTTTAAGAATGCATATGAGCTATGTGCCCGAATATTGTGATGCCTCAATTAATGAAATCTCCTCACTCTGGTACATGTTGATGGGACATTCATGTATGCTTCGGAGTCATCATGCATTCATTACATTCAGTAACAGCAACTGTTGATGATACCAGACACATTTGCTGTTTAACTGCTTTGAGCCGCAGGACATCTTGAACATTTCTATCTGTCTGTGCACAGAGGCAAGGGGAATGGGTTACAACATTGAAGTGTGCCCTCAAACACTTCTGACTGATGTCTAAACGAGTCAGTCCCTCATTCATTTTGCACATACGCATTATGCTCACAGAGTCTGTCAAAGTGGACCGTAAATTGAACCTGGTCTGCTGTGATAGCAAATTTCGCTCCGTGCGGGTGGGCCGGAATGTTGAAAAATGTGCGGTTGCAGTTAATAGAAATATTGTATGAATGAATATAGACCAAACGACTCCTACAAATCAGTACTTGAGGCACCCTGGCAGTACATCATGTTGGCAGCATTTTTTGCCTTTTAGTGGTCAAAATTGTCCAACAGAAATAATGACACCTACAAGTGGTTGAAAGCCAGAAAGTTGAGACTGTTTTTTTTTCTGCCTCAGATGTGCGCTACATTAAACTGTCTCAAAGAGAATGACGCGAAGACAAACACTGCCAGAAAAGAGGAACAATCTACTGCCACTCTCAACAGAAAGTAGAAATTAAGCTGCATCAGAAATACCTGGCTTAGCAGCTGGCAACAATATGCGGGGGGGACACCCCCTCCCCAGTGGGAAGCTGGCCCCCCATCAGTAAAAAGCATAAGCACGAAAAATATATTTTGTTCCTGTAATGTGCCCTCCCCAGCTGATGATACTGTGGCCCCCTTAATACCTGAAGCTGGCAACAGTGCTGACAATATGTGAACACAAAAAGCAGATTTAACTTGCTGCAGATGCATGTGTTACAGCCAGTCATAAAAACGCAACCCAACTTAGAAACTTATAGCAAGTTATTTTTTTCATCTGAGACAGTGATTCTGGGCTTCCTCAAATCACACTCAGCAGGTAAGGCACACCATGAAAAATCTTTTTCTGTAAGAAAGCCTTGCCTCTGAAGAGCCTGCTGTGAAAGAATGAGTCTCAAAAACAGGAAAGGTTTCCAATAGCAACAACATATACATGTACCACTCAAAACACTGTGACTTTTTCCCACACATCCACCTCTTCTCTGAGCCAATACTTTAGACACACGAGCCAGTTTTCCTTAATTAATAGACTATATCAATGGGAGACCCAATTCATGCAATTTCATCATGTATTCCTGAATGTATTATATACATTTGAAACCCTTTGGTATCCGGTGATTTTGGGGGGTCGGAATGAAATTGTAGAATAAAGTCTCATTCTTAAAATTTTAACGTTTTCAAATCGATACCCTACATTGGAAAATCTGACTGAAATTGGATCCCCCGCAAATATGGTTTGTTACACCATGCAAAGTTTTAAATAACAAAGCATGAAATAAGATTTGAATCACACCCACTCATAACCTGTATTTTTTTCAGTTTACAGAAGGTCAAATTTCAAATCCAGGCATTTCACAGGGCTGTCTGCAATACACCTGTGGCCATGCACAGACAGCAGACAAATGTTAGGCCCCACAGGGCCCTGTAGCCTATGCAGCCACACATCTTCCATTTCAGCATGACCTTTTCTTTCATCAGCTTCCAACCCATCAGCCCATCTGTGTCAAAAACCATTACAGACACCAAACTTGAGCAAACGTTTTGGTGCTCTACTGGAGTTTTCACTAAAAAAAGGAAATACCTCCCTCCTCAACATAACCGCTCCTTCCCCCACAAAAACTTCCCAAGAAGAAACCTGAGAGACATTAACAGACAGCAGTGGGATAAGGGGAAAACCACAAATGAAAGATCTGTGCCCAATGAGACCAGTCGCGTGTCAAGATTGGATGGGGGCAAGTCAGTTTTGACAGGAACAGGGGAAATGTTTACAAAGATGGACGGAAGAACCGTTTTGCCATCTTGGACCTTTCAACATTTCAATTGGAAAACAATTTAAACACATTGGTAGCAGACGGAAGTCAACTTAATGCTTTATCAATGCAGCCATATCCATGGTTGTGAACTGTCGCATGCAGTCTCACCACACTGTACATGTGTGGCAAATATTGGATGAGTTGATCTCTGTCTTGCAAAAATTCCACAGAAAATCCTCGATGGAGACCAATGGTACAAGAAAATGTGATTACATTGAAAACCAATATTCAAGACACCCACAAATTTATTGTGGTATTTTCAATGCATTTTAATTTTTGGAAATCGTCTTTTTCCTGTTTGTGTAGATCCAACAGAATTCATGTAAAGGTAGCGTTGTGGTCCAATGTCTATGCTGTAGTAATTTAAACCCCATCGCAGTTCAGAATGTCTTTGGCAACACATTTTGCCACAATTTTTCTTTAATCAAAGATGTTAAAGTGATTATGAACATGCTCTTCTCACATGTCTCAGGGCGTGATACAGATTTGTATGTATACATGTTGCCAACAAGACGTGAACATTAGCAGAGTTCACAAAGTAAAGATGCTGACAACCTTTTTTAGTCAGAAGAGATATTGGACATTACTGTAACCCATGTTCAAGGATACCTGAAACGGGCAATAAAAGTCAAAATTTATGACTTTGATTAATACTACCATATGTCGCGTCATTCATTTCACCATTACTTATCAGCATCCTGAAACCCTGTCACAGAATGCAAGAAGACGTGGCCAGCAACAGTTGCGGGCTGAGGGAGGGGTTAAAAACAGCTGCAATATCGAAGTCCTGCAGCCTGCTGTACCAGCAATGGAAACCATGTGTATGGCTTTATTTCAGAACCTAAAAGTTCTTGGGATGGACCCTAGAGACAAGTATGCCAGGAGGATGCCCTACCTTGCCAACGCTTTTCTCTCCCCCTTTTCCCCAGGTGAGTAATGTGCTCACATTGCACCTTACACCAGAAGGGAGGCTACACCCAACATCGCTCCCCTGGGTCCCACAAAATACTTCAACTGACCCTTCAAACAGAACATGATCTTGCCCTTTGTTTCGGAGAACTGAGACTGAGATTACTGAGACCTGACGCTGACCATGTCATAATATAACTGGGTTTTGCAATGTAAAGTTGTAAACCTTTCTACGCATAAAACATGCCATTTTTCCATTCCATGACACACCCAACGATGTATTTGTGGTGCAAGGAAATCACACTTGATGCACCTCCATCATCTGACCATAAAACCACTAAGATGTACATGTTTAGGGGGCTGGCAAGGTGCATCTTACAACTGATAGGTGCATGCTGATGATGAGATGAGTACACGTATAAATGGACAGAACTATTGGGTTCCAACATGAATTGATGGAGCAAAGGCTGCATTTTTCAACTGAATGACTAATTGAAAGAAGGGCCCAACTCCAACAAAACCTTTCTTGAGTTCAAAAGAAAAACTGAATATTTTTTGAAGGAGTTGCAAAGGAAATCCTTTAACTCTCCTAGGCCAAACTGGTGGAGTTGGGTCTTTCGTTTAGTGAGGTGTTCAATTTGTTCAATCAAACTTAACTGGGGAAAGGTCAGATGTAAATAATTACTCCCAAAAGAGGAAAGTGCTAATCTTTCCCTACTGGGAAGGAGGAGGGGAGTTTCACACTCAGGAAAAGTGGATCAGCGCAGGCACAGGGGTCACACTGCCTGCCGAGCCTTACTGACTTGGTGGCGCAATGACTGAAGAGCTGCCCCTCATGACTGGAAGCAAGCCACCAGAAACTCGGCAAAGCTTGCATGATAAAGACACCAGATGAACAGTGAACACTTCCCTGAAGGAAACCTTGGATACAAAGGGCCCAAGGGTAATTTACCAAGACTCTCCCACTGACAAAGTTGCAGACCCGCCCAGGCAGGGCCAAGCAGGTATTCTCAACCTTGAATGACTGTGAGCAAGATCCAGTAAGGAACATGACTTACCAAGCACTGAGACACGAAAAGTCTCCCTTGTCTGTCCAACATCGTTAGAAGCTACACAACTGTAATCACCTGACAGTCAGGAGAAAAAGGAAAAACACTTTATTTTGTAACATCTCAAAAAACGAATGCCTCCAACCAACACCATTTGTTCAATTTAATGACAGCGTAAATATCAATGCGAAAATAATTGGTGAATGACAAGAAACAATTCTGGTGTCAATGTTTTCCTTGATATTAACAATATTTGCAATAATGCTTTATTTTCTTCTTTCTGGCAAAAATCTTAGTTAGTGACAAATATCATCATGGACTGCAATATAATCCACTGATACTTCTAAGACCAAGCTGACATAAGTTTCAGCAAACTTGTTTCTCTTAACTTCATTAACCTATATAATGGAACGTTCTTTAACATTTGCTTTATTTATAGACCACAAAGACTTCACAAACGCTGCCAGCCTGACAAATACACTTCGAACTCCCTCAGGATTTACTCTTAGGCTGCCAACACATTGAGATTGAAACCCACTCCATGTTCAGGAAACTGCAGAGGTGGGACCACCCATGCAACATGACTTCAATCAGGCTAATAACAGCATGCATCGCTTCCCTCCATCTCTCCCATCTCTAAAAATAACCCACTTCGCAGAAATTCACAACAGCACACAAGCTGGCTGGAAACAAGACCCAACTGCTGAACAAACTTGTAGTTCAATGTTGAGCATTACCGGAGGGGAATCATGGTGTGTTGTGCCAATGCCCCAGAGAACTGGGAATAAAAACAGCACAAAGCTCCCTTTTTCCCTGGACGTGAAGTTGGCAAGGTCTGAACTGCTGAGTTAAAGCAGGTACTCTGCTTTCAATTTGTAGAATGCTTGAAAAGGGCAAATCACTGATGATTGTCTGAAACTAAACTTAGTTTAAAGACACCAACAAATGAAAAAAATCCAGGTGACATTGATCCATCTTATTTGTTCTAATTTTGATGAAAAATAAAAAAAAAACACATCAAGTCAAACTATAAATTCCAATTTAAAAAGTGTAACATGATGTTTGAAATGAAACTGGAGGGGCTATAACCCCCATGTTGTGTCCAATTTACATGTGTATATCGTTTAATTTCCTAAGTGCTTGTGAGCTTCTTCATGTACAATCTGGATATACATTTTATATACATGTAGCACAGGATTTGAGATTATTTCTTTCTTGACAATCTGCCCTGAGCTGAAGTGCACCCTCACTGGCGAAAGAAAGACAGATGGTACTAAGTTTTCCAACCAGGTTCTTGGACCCATTCGGCATGCACACGAAGACCACACGTTCCAGACTAAATTTGTTGCCCATACTCAGTGTGCTCTGTGTCACATGTACATAAACTTGTGTGCCTATGCAGTGAGTGCATACCAAAAGACGGCCAATTTCACTTCAAAACACGCCCTTGTTTGCTCCTGCTCAGAAGAGATAGATCATCATGCCACACTTAAATCCATAGTATACTATCACAGGCCCAAATGGCCATAAAAACATTGATGCAAACTGAGTTGCAATTTGGTATAATGTACAAGTTTCAGCTGACCAGTTTCAGCTGCACAGCGACAAGCTAGACTAGAAGCTGACCTCATTTTCATGAGGATAGCCTACCGGTCAATATCCTTAAAGACTCCATAAACTTCATTGGTTATTAATTTCATGTAATGGGCCAAAGGTAACTGTGGCCACATGGTTTGTTCCTCTCTGGTTTTACAACTAACCATTTTTAAATGGTTTTTAAAAAGCCCTGCGGAGCTTTTTATCATTAACAGAGAAAGCTACTCTTTAAAGTTAATTTAAAGTTTTAATTTTAAGTTAATCTTTTGACACAATCTCTTTTGCACAAAGTGGTTAAAAGCTTTTAACCTTTTTGGTTTTAACTCAATTTTAACCATTTTCACCTCATAACTGATCCTTGTCAACACAGCGGTCCCACATCACTCAGTCAACAAAAAATGTTCACATCATGGAAAAGCAGACATAATTCATCATCCTGGCTATCACGATATGATGATCTGAATCCCATGCAACTGCTGTCAACAGCAGATGTGTCATATCTGAATGAGTAATCCGCAAGCACCATCCATTTGTATTCCCAGTGTAAAAGGACCGAGTATAAATATATATACTACTTTTTGTGACCCACAACATGGGACCTTAAAGAGCAGGAAAATACCTAATGCTATTCGACAGCAACATATAACATCTTATAACACAGCCGCGGGGCTTTTAATAAATAACAGAGTAAGCTACGCAGAAACAGCAATTGACAAAGTTAATCTTTTGAGACAATTTCCTTTGCACACAATTATACTGGTTGGCCAACTTCAACAGCCAGGATTTGCCAAGATATACTGATGCGGGCATGCTGTAACGATGAGTCAAAGGTTTTGTGATGCTATCTTCAAAACCCATTTATTCGGTGAAAATGTTAGTATTTTGAGGAAATGGCTTTTTAAAGAGATGCTCCTGTATTAAAGCCATTTCAGCATTCATTTCTCACACCTTTGCAACTATCTGTGCAAGCTTAGACTGTTGAAAGTGAAACATGTTCTCAAGAGAGATCCAGGCCAAATTTCATGGAGCAGAAAAGACTTTAGGGTAAACAAACTGAAGAAAAATGAAAGCAAAAACAGAAGTGATGTGCCAGTCAAAAACAAATAAATATCAATAAACACTGGCTGGTAACCTGCGTAAGCAATATATTTCTGAGCTCAGCAGCTCCACAAACTTTGCCCCAGTCTCAGATTTTGAGTGATAAAAACTTTACATATTAGATGCGCCAAGTAGCATACAATTTTCCTCTGTAAAGTGCATTACATTTGTCCGTAGGATTCAGAATACTTTTCCAAACAGTTCCTTGGTACTTGAGATATAAGGAGAACAAACTTTAATATGCAGCAAAGAATGATCTTAGTTTGCTCTTCTATACCTTGATCATCTTTAGAAACTAAGGCAATCATAAGGGCATTCGGAGGGGTGATGGTGACTCTGTCGGATGAAATGATGACATCCTGCCCCTTCAGCCAAGTTATGGTAGGCTCAGGGAAGGCACTGGTGATGCACTGGACAGTTAAGGATGTACCCACATTGATGGTTAAGTCACTGATGGGTGTGATGTCTGGAGCAACTGCAAGATGGTGGAGAGAAGACACGTTTAATGCACTACATGAAGAACTGTCTGAACTTACAATTTTGTAGTTGAGACTATTGAGCCATTTTACACACACTAAAGATGAAGTGCTGTAGCCATGTCAGTCACCAGTATTAAACTGATGCAAGTTTTTTTAAAATTATTAAACAATTAATACTCAGCAAAGAAATCTTCTGAGAAATTTTGTTTGCACTCCCTTGGAAAGGAGTGGGACCCAAAAGTGTGTTCACTGTACACTTAGTGGAAATGACGAGAAAAAATGGATGGTCCTTGAGCATGTGGGTGCTTTCAGCCAGTCCAATTAATGTAGAGTAAGTGGGTTTTAGAGAGAGATGAAGTACCTCTGACTTGTAGGTATGCCTCGGAGAGGACCTGCCCTCGCCTGTTCTCGGCCCGGCAGGTGATCTTTCCCGCGGTCACCTCACTGGCCGAGACGATGGTCAGCACTTGGCCCTGGTTGGAGATGCTGCCCCAGCTGGGCACAGGACCATTGTTGAAGAACCAGACCAGGTCTGGCCGCGGCTCACCAGCTGCCTGGCAGGTGAAGTAGACCAGGGCCTCTTGGTACACAGTCTGGTTGAGTAACGGGGTGGTGATGACGGGTGGAGCTGTGAAGGATTACCAATGAAAATGAAATAGGATTACAATACCGTATCAATACCTATTCGTGATCAAAAGCTAAATTCTCACTAGTCTATTCACAACCGTGCGCCAGTCACTGATTATGCTGCATACCAGGTGTGCACCTGAGGATCTACTCGCAAATCCAATACACAAGTGAACTGTTTCTGAGAACATGCATAATGGGTGCATTTTATGACACTATATTTGAATCATCACCCAGGTATACCAGCGCACGTACATGTACATGTATCACCTTAGATACCCATGAAAAGATGACGGCACATGTACAAAGTAGAGTAGCGTTTTAAATGTCTGAAATTGTCATGGCAACTGACATGTACGACGTAAACACATATGACATAGTTCATTTCAGGTAGTTCATCACAGTAACTGGTTTATCAACTTCCAACATCTCAGGAAACTAAAACAATTCTTCAAGCTCAAACCATGTTAAACTTGTAAACTACAATATAAATACATGAACTATCCAATTGGGTGTAAACTTTGAGCAAATTTCAGACATACAGGTAGTGGGAAAATACCTATTGCTGTCTCTACCTTTATATCACGTCCCTTCCCTCACCCTGTGTCATTCCTACATTATGCAAAGTGGCCAAACAACGGTCCAATATATAGGAGTTGCAGCACTTAAGGGCAGCATTTTCTGGGAGGGTTCTTCAATAAGCTTTGTTTTACATATGTGGTTTCAAATAATGCCATGTTTTTCTCCTGTCCAACATTTGGGGATGAAACTGAGATTGCAGGAATGGCATAATGGGGCAAACCTCTCTTCAGACAGGAACACACCTTCCCTCCCACCTAACCACATCACTGACCCTGCCAATGAAACACACCTCCTACATGCACGCCAAAGATTAAAGGGTAACAGAAATTAAAAACATTAAGTTCACATGAAGTATCTCAAAATAACATTAAATACATGTACATAACCATTTCAAAAACATCACAAATGTAATGTTTACCCTATTAATTGTGACCCCAAAGTAAATAAAAAGATCCAGCATTTCCCCACCCACAAAAATCCCCTTTTGGCCATTTGCGTTCACAGGCTGATTGGATGACGTTATTGCCAGAACGCCGAACTGTACAGTGTACACATACATAGCACACAGTACATGCAGTATCGCAGGCAAACAATGGACTACGCTGTGTTTAATGTACATTGGTCCACAGGCAAACAGTGTCTCCATTCAAGGTAGAAATTAAAGGACACAGTCCTACCGTGTATTTTTTGAACTGAGACAGCCAAAAGGGATTTGTTTTTGTGGGCCGGGAAAAGCAGGATCTTTTTATTCATTTTGGGGTCACAATTAAAGGGGTAAATTTCATATTTACGATGTTTTTGAAATGGTTATGTATTTATTCTTATTTTACAATACTTCATGTGAACTAAATGTTTTCAATTTCTGTTAACCTTTAATAATAACAAAATATAGGTGCCTACCATAATTATCATTGACATTACTTTCCAGTCCACATCCAGACAGAGTCAGTTCACATATGAATGTAACCAATTCAAATTACACATGACTTAAACAAGTTTTTTTGCAAAGAGTTGTATTTGAATGAGGCTGTCACTGAAACAGAAACCAGTTTAATGTTTCCATAAACTGACAGTTTCATTTATAGCTATTTTGTTCAAAATTTTATTCAAGTAATTTTTTTCCTGACTTATATGCAACATCTGGTCAAAGTATGGCTCTTGCATTGGGATCTGGACTGAATTTTTGGAATCGGACTGAATATGGTGAAAAGTATAAACTTAAACAAAAAAAATATTAATTGTGTTATTTTGATGTTTTCAGCTTATTTTACATATATCTGTAAAAAAAATCATCGATACCTGAAATGCATACATAACTTCCTGGGTCATAACAGGGATTAAACGAGTATTTCCGTGAGAAACCTGCCTGAGAAATTGCATTTACAGAAATCTGAGACTCAGAATTTCCTCCTGGAAAGTATCTGGAAAGGTTAAACATGAGACTGTCTTTCAGTTCAGGGTATATTTTTGAGGAACTGTGGAACTGCACAGATTACACAAATCAAATCTCCTTCCAGGTTAATCTTAGAACAACAGATCTGTCACAATTACATTAACAACCAGTACAGCTTGTCAACATCAATGCACTTTCTGTGGTTGATTTGTTTGGGGCAGAATGCCTTTAAGTGCACCTGGTCAACCCTGAATGGTGTCTTTAATTGGTGTGCAGTTTACTCAATGATATTTAGCCTAAAGCCAATTATTGATCAATTACAGTGGGTCTTGTGTCAACGTCCAATTTGCTGCATGTGCATGTACATCACAATTTCACAAATTCACATCTGTAGACCTTTCTCTTTGCCAAGATTGCAAAAATCATCCTTGGTTGGTAGTCGATTCTGCAATGTTACCCTTTAGAGTGAAAGAGGAACTGTTATTGTAAATTAGCATCTATGACTGTAACAGGCAGTGGATATTGCCAGCATGCACATCATGAGACTGGTCCAGAGGCTAGGCTCTACTCCCATACATGTGCTACTTAGGCCTATACCCAAGCAGACTGCTTCTCAGTTCTTGCATACTGTACGTCTATGGCTTCATTACCAGGATAAACATTATCCATGTAACCCAACCAGTGAAATTTGATTTTCTGCTAGTTAATTTCCTTGCCAGTCCCCGCTGCATTCTCAGGATGTTGATGTTGATATTACTTTGCATACAATTTCTCAGCTGTGCCCGTGAGCTCAATCCTTTACGGTAAGACTTTCAACTGGTGCGAGGAACCTCTCTAGTGGTCTCATGCATACTGTGAGGAAATGAAACTAGCTAGACATTGAATGGAAACAGACCAGAACATCCAGCATGCAGGAAGGAAGACAAATTGTGTTATTCAAACTGTTGGAGATTCTGGGGTTTGTGGATGACAAACACAAACAGTTAAGTAGCGTCTTCATCCTCACATGGAAGTCTCTTCCTCCTGTGGCATAAAGGGGGCGTAATACACCCCCAATCAAAACTCTCTGCCTGCCAACAAAATCCTAAGTTATTACTACCTTTAGTGATAGAAGCCAGTTCTCCTCACAAGCACCTTATACTTTAAAGTTAAGGTACCATCCTACACCTATATGCCCTGAGGCCAGAAAACAAGCTTCCCCTTTTAAAGGTGAAAGGAAAACCTCAAGTGTTCTGCCAGAGTCTCAGGGGTAAAAGAAGGAGTAAAGCAAACCAAAACAAGACAACACATATAGAATGGGGTCATAAGCACATGTTTTCCACCAAACTTGAATCCTTGAAGCTGATTGGTTGTGATGTGACACTCTCCTGTAGTGGGTAATCTGGCATGCCTCAGGGATATATGAAGGTTGAGTGAAATTCGATACGACAAAGGCATGAAACACTCCCAATGTTCCCTGAGTCTGAATTAAACAGGCTAGCAAGGTTATCTTCCAGCACACCAGCCTCATCTCAGGCTCCATGTTGAAATCTTCTTTTAAGCAAAGTTCAAGTCAACTGGAAAGTACATTGAAGTTTAAGACCACTGTTCATTAATTCCATTGTTTAGTAAAATAGAAGGGGGGAAATCAGAAATCTTCAAAAAAACAGCATGTACTAGAACCATCTGAGGCATTTTGGAGGAATATATGTGAGTAGGGAGGTGGCAGCCTCCTCCCATTTTACATAAAATCATGATTGCCTCATTCTAGGGATCTAAAGGCCTTTTCACACTAGACAAATCTCGGGGTTGATACAGGGTTGATGCAGGTTGAAAACTGGTGACGATTCACACTAGAACATTTTCAACCCGGAGCAAATAAAACCCTGCATCAACCCCGAGACTGATTTCAATGGCGGTTGAGCCCAACCCTGCTCTAGACCAGGGTTGAAAATTTTCAACCCGGGTTGAAAAATTTTCATGCTCATTTCAGGGTTGAACTCACTCCGATAAGCTCGGTTCAAACAGAACAAGAGTGCAACAACACATGAATGAACGTGGGGTTGAAAAACTAAATTTCAACCCGGGGCAGTCATGTATTCACCCAGGGTCGAGTTCAACCCCGGTTGAGAGGCTGTGGTGTGAAAAGGCCTTAATAACAGACATCTGTGCCTGAACTGTCTCAGGGAGTTCCTACGTACTGACTCTCTCAGCTGATGGCAGAGTGCGTGGTTCTGCAAACAGACTGAAACTGTGGTTAGAGTATGACCTTTAGCTAGAGAAGAAGGCAACAATGCTAAAACCATAAGGAAAATATTTGTGACAATCCAAGCCCTTCACTCAGGAAAGCTGGCTAACAACTGTTAAAGAAATAGTTTGGATTTAATCAAGATCACGTCCTTCCATTTACAAGTTCAGGTTTCAGGTTACATATACGTTTAAGTGATCCATAGAGATCTAATTAAACTGGTTATAACACTGTTATGAAGACTATTCATAATATGGTGACTTGGTATAAGTTTTTCTGAAGTGCTGGTACTTTGCATATATCTGGAACTCTAAACTGGCTGGCTTCTGCATGCTCAAACTACAAAAGCTCAACCTTTTTAAAGCTCCCATTAAAACTAAACTAAAATGGACTTGATAGGTGGGCTAAGATACAGAGCAAAATTATAAAGTTACTGTAGTACCTAATTCCAGTTCCAGTCATTTTCAATCAATGTCCTACATGTTTAGTGTAATAATTAAAACCAGAACACAAGCCTAAAAGGTCACCGTCAAAACTGAGGTAATCAGTCCATCCCGAAAGCATGCAACTTCAGTCCATTCTTAATTTCCTATAAGTGCATGTACATGTATTTTGATTTCTCTTGGTGACCTGTCCAAAACCATTTCTTTTTAAAGTGTGGTCAGACTCCGATTGATCTCAAATTTCAAAGGTCGCCTGGTAAGGGGTAACAGAGGTGTCCTACACACTCAGTTGAGTCAGCATCAGATGGTAGTTCAACCCTTTTGGGGTTCCTGCCTTGCAATCAGTCAAGCAATTC